ATCACCAAATACTAAGTGCAGAACCTGACTATCGAGCGTTGTATATTTTGGTTCCAGCAAGACGAGTGATAAACTTTCTAACTAGATGGTCAGGTTTGTTTATTTGGATCAAGAAGAACGCAACATAATCAACTATAGTTTAAGCGATCTACCCGGCTTCTGAATAAAAGCGAGAAACGCGCACATTTAGTGGAAATGCGCTGAAAAGGCTTAGCTACTTTTTAAATACACCGAAAGAATAGAGAGAAAAGGTGTAAATTTAATCAAAAACGAAAGTAAAATGAATGACAGGAATATATCGATAAAAAGGAGACCATTTGATTTCCAGATCCGTTGGAACGAGGTAACACATCTCTCAACGCAAATGGACTTTTATCGATCGATGAGATAAAGTGTTTCGTGAAGTTTACCCTCGACCCAAACAGTTCTTAGCTTATTGAGAAGCACATCTATAGGAACGCGATCTAAAGCTATGGAGAGATCAAAACTAAAATCTAAAACAATGTCGGTGCTCATGAACTGCTTTGTAAATGAAGTGAGTAGCTAGTACCCGAGCAACGATGGTTGATAATTAGGCAGGACACAGCTGTATGTATGATATCATTTAGCAGCAAAATGAAGAACGTGTTTATGTTTGATTTTTAGCAATATCTTGCTGGTTACACAGAGTAACGAGGTAGAAGGTAACTTTCCACTAACAATTTCCTCTTCTTTCTATGAGCTATATTTATTTTAGCTACTTTGCAGAAGTCTGAAAATATGCCTTTCTAAATAGACAAGCGAAAAATATGTAGCGATAGTCTTCCGAAAGATGGTAAGCAGAGTTTGGTGAATGGATGCGAAAAGTCCACTATTCTAGTGCTGTTGGTATTTTTCATAGGCTGGACTGCCATATGAATATCGTCTAGTTCAACAGAGATACTAGAAAGTTTGACGAGGTAATTTGAAAGTTTGAAAAAGCAGTAGCTTAAATAGGATGAGTGAACAGAGCACGAATTGAAATACTCATTAAACACGTTGAAAGCCTCAGGGAGAGAATGTGGTCATATATGATGAACTCGTTTGATTAAAAGATTGCGACTACCTATCTTGTTGTAAAAGGTTACACACCAAGTGTAATGGGATGGAATTTGACTGCTCGGTGAAGTGACGGCCGCGGAAAGAACAAGAGGAAGATGAAGACTTGCAGGATATGAGTATACACGGAAACATATTCAATAGTCTCAGTGTAAATGAAATCTACTTTTGTTGAATAAAATTTTTGATGCGGATCAGGAATCTGGTTTCCGCTAAAAGACCTGTGAAGTTTATGAATGGGCTTTCATCAATCTAGTCTCTGACAACGCAGTATAAAGCTTCGAATTAGAAGATTTTAACAGGTGCATCGCCTTACGCACGCGAAAAGGTTTTCAAAAATACCCATTAAAGTTTAATACAGGTTTTAACTGTTACGTAAATGGTATCAGGCTTAACAGCACATTAGAAAGAAAAATTTTGAAACTTGAATCGGACTAAATCAGCTGAATAGTTTCGCTCATTAGCATTTGGTGATGATAAATGTATCGGTCTGCCAGATAATACGTACCGTCTGCATTATTACATTGGCCGCGCGAACTAGTAAAACAAGAGAGATAACATGATTATTCAATCTTGATTTTTAGCTCACAGCATCACGAGTATCAGCTTATTGCATCATAGTATCTCAGAGGATTCTAATCGTGTTACTGTGTCGCGACTAAAGACGGTGTTTGTTCATGCTTCAACGGAAATTATGAATAGTTTCGTTGAAAATTATAGAGTAGATGAATAACTCAATAATTTTTTTATTGCAAAACGTATGTCACAGTATGATGAATGCTATCAATTTTTGGATAACTTTCAACCACAGACAGATATCGAACTGTGATTTGTCTCGTCCATGGCCGAAGTATGTACTTTCATTAGCAAAATGATGTTGAAATTCTTTTCTCAGTGTGGGCTCTTGATATGTCCCGAAATCGATCTTTGTGTTCTAGGCAAATGGCAGTAGGTTTTAATTATTAACCTGTTGCCATTTGCCTAGTACACAAAGCTCGATTTCTAGACATTGGAAAAACCGTAAAACTGAGGTTCTACTTTGAATTCATGATCAATTACAGAATGGTGGTGTTTTCATATAAAAAGCCATAACTCCCTCATACTTACCTAAAAGCTTTAGGATATGTGTTACTTACTGTATTTTATTTCGTATTGATAACAAAAAGCGCATCATTTTACAAAAGCTCATGGTTTTCTTCGAAAGAATTTGTAAGTGATATTTCAGCGAAACACTAACTTTTCAAGTTTTCTTATTCCATAGTGACTTTTCACAGACAAAACGAAGCATATCCAAGACAGCAGTCCCGGAGTATAAGGGAAACTCGACACTACTCTCAAATCACTGAGAATCAATGTCTCGCTTGACTGCTTTTCTAAGAGAGCACATTGGGTCATCTACTCATGCGAAAATAATACTGTATTTTGATTTTAACCTGTGGAAGAGTAGACTGGTTTTCCAAAGACTCCCGCGAAAGGAAAAGCCCTAGATTCATGTGATTCATATATCTAAACTTATATTTACGCTGTATGAACTCAATACCCTATCACAACTTACTGTCAGTCATCTCGGGCGTAAACTCTAAAAAAAGAGAGATAACATGATTATTCAATCTTGACTTTTAGTCCACAACATCATGAGTGTCAGTTTATTGCATCATCGTATCCTAACCGTTTTATTGTATAGCTACCGAAGACATAGTTTTCTCATGCTTAAACGAAAACTGTCATTCACCCGAAGTATAAGGCCAATAGTTGTTATCGGATAACTTAAAGAAAGTAAAAGATAGAGACCTGCGATTTACAGCAATCGAAAGAGGACAGTTAATACTTTTAATTTTTATTTCAGTTAATATTGATCCTAGGACTCTCATTAAGTCCGATGTCACGCCCGAATCGGGCGTAAGTAAATTAAGAGTTCGTTTAGTTCCCACTCTGGAGAGGACACTTTAGAATATCTATCTATGAAAAAAACTGCTAGATTGCTATCTCAGTTTAGGGCGATCCGCGCTGGTTTTCCAGAGATCTTGTCGAAAACTGACTTTCTGAAAGTTTTTGGAAAACGATGTTGTATATGAAAATATAGGCTAAACTGTCCTCTTTCGATTGCAGGAAATGGCAGGTCTCTTACCCTCTTTGAGTAATTCAATAAATAACTACTGGTCTTATAGTAGTTTCGTTTAAAATTACAGAGTAAATGAATAATTCAATATTTTTTCATTGCAAAACGTATTTCATAGTAACATGAATTCTATCAAATTTTGAATAACTTTCAACCAAAGACAGATATCGAACTGCGATTTTTCCCATTTAACAGCCTGATTGATATATCTAACCTTATATTTACTCTGTGTGAATTCAATAATCTATCAGTACTTACTGTCAGTCATCTCAGGCGTAAATCCTAAAAAGACATAGATACAGTAAAACTAAAATTCCTAGTTTAATCCACATGACAAGCTTTTCGTACTCTTTGCTTCTGTCAGACAAATTCCAGATCGCCTTCGTTTTGATTTTTGATTATGTATGTTATCTTCTGCATATCGAACACTTTGCTTAACGTCATTGCTTTGGTCAGTAATCAAACTACTAAATCGTGGTCGTTGACTGAATGATGTTATTGATGAAGCTATTAAACAAAGATTAACTACTATTTTTTCTGTTATTTTTTCTGTTACATACGATTCAAAGGACTGATAGTCGGAATATTACATTTGTATGTAACAACTTCTTCAGTCAAAGCTGGTTCACTCGGATTATAATCTTTTGTAGTACTATGCCTCATTCTTAGATATACTCGTTTCCCATCGTGTTCTGGTATGATAGGAATTGCAAATTTAAGCAAATGCTAAAGTACATATCATATTTTCATAATTTAGTTTAGTGAAATAATAAAAAGACTTTCGTTCTTACATTACAATGCTGATCTTTTTCTGCCATTACAGATTGCCGTTTATCAATATTGTCAAATAATCGTACTACGTTAGATGTGCTTACGGCTGTATTAGAATTCAATAACTTCTCGAATGCTAAATCCACTATATATTGTCCAGTTGTAGCGCCCCATCTATAAAAAAAACACTGACTTCATCTTTCTCCAATTTCAATGTTATATAAAAGAATACCGTACCGGTCCGGTCTTTCAAGTTTATTATTCATATACAGAAAAGCATGATCGCTGGCATTTAAAATATTTTTATCCTGTACGAGTTTTAGAATTTGGAATGTTTCAAAAATTTCTAAATGAGAAAACATTAATTCAAAAACTTATCTCATATCTGTAGTATGATTTTCAGATCAAGTCTAGTTTCGAAGAAAGTACGTTTTTTTTCCTAGAAAATGTGCATAATACCCACTGCTATTTCTTAATGGTGGAAATAAACATTCGCACAATAATACATCGCCATGATAGGCTGCACCGTATAAACGGATATGAGCCTGACTAAACGTGCCATGATTTCCACTAAGTTGTGTTTCTCGTTCTTTTTCTTAACAAACTATATCTTATAGAAATAATGTAAACAGCAGCGAACAAACATACTACACAGTTTTAGACGTTCTTTAATTATTTTATCTGACTGATCGACGCGAATATCTTTTGGATCATCAAAAGGTAGAAACTGATTGATTAGCGGATCATTCCGCCTTTGTCTCATCAATTGAGGAATGCTATTTTCTGGTGTCATCGAAATGGCCAGTTCATCTCTATAACAGGCAATAAATATAGTTGCATATACAATCGTTGACGAAGATCTATTTGTACCTTTCATTTGGTGGTGGACGATTGACAATTATTGATGGACTTACACAAGTTTTTACAATACTTGTTTCATTAATACTGCCATTTTCATTTCTATCACTTAATCGTGGACTTAAATGAGAAACAGGATAAAGTATAATGTTCTTGCCCGAAACCTGCTCATATAAATCAAGTAAATAATATTATAGACTGCTAATCTATTTATTTATCGCATAAATTTATACTACAAATAGACAAAATCTAATTCTTTGAACGTTTTCTAGGTTTTAAAAAATTTCTTTTAGTGAACTTGTAATGTTAAAAGTATGAGTTCTAAAATAGATCATGCCTATCTGTGGTAGAAATTTAAACACAATTGATTTAGGGGTTGTTCTTTCGAAAACGTATCAAGTGTACATCGACTTCATCCCAAAGTAATACAACTCGAGCTCCTGATGACGAATATCACATTTAAAATATTTTAAAATAAGAGCATCGTCGTCTTCTAGATCCGCGGAGATTTTCCAGCAGAACAGATCTTTTCTGGACATTTTCATCATTTTTTAGAGAAACACTTTCATGAGCTGACCGTCGCGATTGCAGGACGTGGGATGACATATATTTCGCATGTACTCGACGTGAACTATTAGAAAAACAGATTCTGTAGTATTTTTGCTGGAAAACCCCTTTTTCTGAATGTGCCTGGGCAAAGGCAAAAATCATTTTTTCTAATAGTTCACGTCGAGTAAATGCGAAATATATGTCGTCCCACGTCCTGCAATCTCGTCGAATAGTGCAACTCAAACTTTGAAAAACGAGAAAAATCGCCTTTAAAAGTTGTTTTTTCCTACTATCAGATGGGTTTTAATCTCAATAAGCACGACTACATCGGATAGAGAAAATATGCGTCGAATGCGTATTTTATTGTCGTATGTTGACAGTATTTTATGGGAGAAATATGGTTTACAAAAAAGGCCTACTTTTCGGAAAAAGCGACTTTTTTAAAAATTCTTCTGTGAATGTGCTTAGTATTTTGGAACTTTTTGTGCGTTAGAAATTTTGCAGCGCTGTACATATGGATTATAATCTGATGGTACCAGCGTATAAAAGCGTTTCTGTAAAAAATGATGAAAATGCCCAGAAAAGATCTATTCTGCGGGGAAATCTCCACGGATCTAGAAGACGACGATGCCGTTATTTTAAAATATTTTAAACGTGATATTCGTCATCAAAAGCTCGAATTGTATTACTTTCGCACTGTTGGGATGAAGTCGTTGTAAACTGTGGTATACTTTCAAAAGAATCACTCCTAGGCCATCTAACGAAACGCTACATTGCAAATCAGTCGTACATGAACATTTTATTAAACAAATAATAGTTCTATCATCTTAACATAGCATTCTCTACAGTTGAAATACCCCATTTTCGTAAACAATTAAACGAAAAAAAGTTACGCTATTTGATACCGAAGACTTAGCAAAAATAATTTGATTGTTAAAAATCATTTTTTCAGTAACTCTCTAGAAAAACTACACTGAATCCTTAAAAGTTCAGGTGGTTGTATATTGTTTCTTACATGACAGTCCTCTATCATCATTTACCATCTATCAAAACTTATCGACTTTGGTTTTCTTCTAATGTTTGTCGGACATAATGACGCGCATCTCACTACAGTATGCTCTACACAGCTATATAATGCAAATCAAGTTTCAATGTTCCATCGGCAAAATTCAACTTTTCCATAAAGTTGTAGTTTTTGCTGCTGAAATAGCTGTTGAGCAAATATTAGATCTATCGCATATTCCAATCAAACATTCCTGGTAAAAAGTATGTGAAACGGCTCGGCCCAGTCATAAACAGGAAAAATTCTGACATTACTTTTCTTTTCGTTGTGACAAATAGTGTGAACTGCCCTCTACAGAGTGAGAGGCAGGTGACACTTTCATCTTTAACGATATCTGTCGGAAACTGAAGAGTGCATACGTCACTCAGAACTCATTCAAACCATTTCTAAATTTCAGTATATAGTTTACTCTGTTCCATGCAGCTACCATCATTACTAGGGTTAAAAAATCATGATGAATATGTTTTTGAGTAATCCGGGTATTTTCTAGAAAAAATCTCCTGTACTTTCTCTCTATTTCTTACTAGAATCTTGATCAGTCCTAGAAAGTTTGTAGATGTTATAATACTGTCAGCGAATCTGTTTCTTAACGAATAAAGATAGTTAATATCAGGTGGAAGTAATAAAAGTCATACAAGTAAGTATATTTTAAAGTTAAAAAGCAAAATAGTATAATTTTCGGTTAAACTGAGACTGTTCATATATTGTAAGAGCCTATTTTGAGAAGTGGGCTGAGTATGGTATCATCATTATGGTTAAGTCTCATTTGATCAACAGTTATTAAGTCTCTAATATCGAGGACAATAATGTTTGATCTGCATGGTTAATTTGGCGACTTCTTAGACACGCTATATTCTTTGTTAAAAATGAGCAATCAAATAGACTAAACTATGATAATCCTCTCGAATTATGCTCACCCAATGATATATGTTTTTGTTGTTGTTATGTGTCTGTAAATAGCAGTATTTATGTTACTGAATATGGAGTTGATTATTAACATATTTGTCTCAACCGACATTTGAGTGATCCTACATTAGACTTTTCAATATGACTTTTCTCCGATCAGGAAAATGGAATGATTGTTCACTTCGATAACGATTAATACTGATGATGATAACAATTTCTTTGTCATCCGATTATGAACTGAATTATTTGGAGGTCTGTAAAGGGTGAGGGTGAGCAGTGATAAGTGATATGCTTCGGTCAATTGTTGGGGTCACCCAAGTGTCGGTTAGTCACGTATTTGATGTGCAGAAAAAAACTTATTAAAAATACAAGAAAAACATATGAACTGATACAAAAAGGTTTCACCAAGAAACAGTTAACATCATCTGTGAATGCCCTTAAATGATAATGGATGAGGAAAATTGATTGAAACTAGGAATATATAGACAATCCTAGGAAAATTCTGTTGAAGATTTACTAGAACTCAAAATAATTTCTGCTAATTCATCATTCAGTCATCGCATATCCTTGTCAGAGTCCTATTCTAGAGTAAGATAAATCCTAAAAGGATCCTAGTAGGATATCTCCGAAAATTTTATTAGGACATGAATGGGTTTCTTCGATCATGAAATGATTTAGAAACAAGGATATGTCAGAATCTCATTGAGGAGGGTCTGAAGTTTTAAGGTAGAATGGATTAGAAGCTAGCAGTTTCTAGTAGAGTTGTGCTATAAAATTTTAGCTGGCAAAGTTCCTTTTCATACTCTAAGTGGAGCACGTTTTTCATTTTAATTGAAAAAGTTTTCAAATAAATTGGGAATAAGCATTATACATTTACTTAAAATTTGTATAAATTGCATTTATTTCAAAATTTTTCGATTGAGATGAAAACAGTGTTTCGTTCAGAATATGAAGAGTGAAATGTTTTCTTAAAAATACATCAGTTTTTTGAAAATGCTTGCCTAAGTTTGCGTACGAATCAATGAACAAAAGATATTTAAAAATCTATAGTTTTCATTTAAATGCCCTAATGAAAAAGTTTTGACTATCCCATCTCTATAACAAATTAAAAAGCAAAATACAGAGTTTTTTGGGCTCATCTAAATGACATATTTATTATTCATTTCTTTTAAACAAAATGAACTGAAAAAACAGAGTGCAGATGACCAACCTACTGTGAACTGATAACGATTTTGAACATAACAAAAACGCTATTAGACAACAATTTTTTTCCGCCTCTTTTACATACAAAATTACTATAAAGAATTGTGTATTTAAATATACTCGAACCAAGTTTCTCCCATTGGTGATGAGCGATTTATGAAATCAGAATGAAATGTCAAAGATCAGGTACTTCAACAAAAATTTTAAATGACAGTTCAAAATGAATACCATCCAGATTTCTTCAAGATATATAGCACTCAACGTACTTTACAAATTAACAAAAGGATCAGTTGCGATAAAACCATTTTTTTGACCACGCTATTTGCGAAAAAATATCATATATTCGGAATCAGCATCGAGTTCTGAGCAAAACGATGTGTTTTGTTCCTTCGAAAAACAACTTTGATTTTTTTCGAACATTTTTCGTCCCTGTACGACGTCCTTGGAACATCGAAAATCCTTTTATTTCTGATTTTTCTAAAGGATACATCATTCGATGCCGAATTCCGTGCTGATTGCCTATATCAGGTTCGTTTTGTACGAACGCTTCTTGGAAATGAAAAAAACAATTTTTTTGACAGGTAGTTCTTTTGTCTGTCCTACGATTCTGGCCGACAGCCAATCCAGGAACTAACGAGGGAAGTACCCCAACTGATAAATCGCTTTTTCAACGAAACCGAGTGGACTATAGGTAGTCGACGATGCTGATTCCGAATATCACCATGAATGCTGCTGCTAGNGCTAGGCCTTCAAAGACCGGGTTTCTGAAAAAACAGTTTTTGAGAAACTCTGATGAGCAACCAAAAGCTTTTTTAATGAGGCGTAATTGTAGTCCATAAATTTTTGATTAAAACGAGGCATCTCCCAGCTCTACACGACCTTTCTTTGCAAAGTTAAGCCCTAAATTCATTTTTTGTTTTTCTTTCTGTAGCTCTGAGGTGACAATGAATATTTAGGGCTTTTCTTGTAAACTCTATAACTTTGCAAAGAAAGATCGTGTAGAGCTGGGAGATGCCTCGTTTTAATCAGAAATTTATGGACTACAATTAAGCCTCATTAAGAAAGCTTTTGGTTGCTTATCAGAGTTTCTCAAAAACTGTTTTTTCAGAAAACCGATCTTTGAAGGCCTAGCAGCAGCATTCATGGTGATATTCGGAATCAGCATCGTCGACTATCTATAGTCCACTCGGTTTCGTTGAAAAAGCGCTTTATCAGCTGGGGTACTTCCCTCGTAAGTTTGAAAGAAGAAAACAAATTCAGTCGTATTCAGGGTGGAGGCTCGATGGAATTCGGACATGTTCTTGTTTCTAAACATTTCATGATTCTGGTAAAAAAAAGCCCATACATTTTCTAATAGGATCTTAGAGAAATCCTCCTAGAATCCATTTAGAATTTAGCTTACTTTTGAGTAGGATTCTAACAAGATATGCAGTACTATTTATACTGTTTGAAGCAGCCTACTTTAGACGGTATAAATATTATTGCCTCCTCGGACCAGTCAAATGTCTGATTGTAAATTACACATCAGGCACTCACAATTATCGTTACGCGCGCTTAACTAAGACCCTACATGATATTGCATTATTAGAAACTAATTCTGTTGTGAGCCTTTGGATAATCATCGGGATAAGAACAAGTTTTAAAATTTACTATTAGGACTTTTTTTATCTAGTCTAACTATTATCATTTGTTCTCAAACCTGAATGTTCGACCTTGTCCTTCAACGTTGGCAATTAAAATTCCTGTTGAGTGACTCAAATTAAAAATTCTTTCCTCATGACTGGGAGTGATTAAATCTGTTGTTAATTGTATATCTGGTATCACATGTTGAGAAATTAAGCTGGCTTGTGTTTTTTTTACCCATCGAATTGGATAAAAATCCATTTTTGCTGGAATTGTATTGCTTACGAAACAGAGAACAATCTTATACAACCGAAGATTGTGTTCATCATATCGCAACTAGAAACGAAACAAAAAGAAAATAATTCAATTTCAAAGTATAGATAGAATTTTGATCATTTTTCTGTACTACCTTAATCTTACAAGGAAACGTCGCATCTCTTAACTCTGTTTCATATCTAAATGTAAATATCTAAAGTGATGATAAAATAATTTTATAAGAAGTTTAATACCTGAATCTTAAATATGTATTGTCAAAATTCCAACCATCTAATATTAGTCGGGGAAGTAACTAAACATTTCATTGTAAATAAATCATAAAATTACGAAGAAGAGTAAAAACTTACAATAGGTTTCTCAGAATTGCACCATACGTCATCGACTTTATTTCCATTACAAAAACAAGACATTTGTAGATAAATATCATAAAAATCTAAAAGAAATTACTATTCAAAACAGAATAAAAACTTACTCTGAATTAGGGATGCAACAGTACCGGTAAACTGTCCTTAACAGTTCACCAGTTCACGGTACCGGTTCCTTAACGGTTCACCAGTTCACGGTACCGGTTCCTTCTAGCATCAGAGTGCTGAAATGAAAAATAAACACATGGGTGTAGCCTACACCCATGTGTTTATTTTGTGAATCATCCTTAACGAAATAACGTCAAAGTATATATAATACATTTATGTACAAACTATACATAAATACAGTAGACAGTATAGACTAAAAAACCATACTGTACAGTATACAGTATAGTAGAGCGAAACAATAATACATGAAAATGAAAGTCCAGGATCCAGGCACACACACAGAGAAACAAAAAAGTCTGTTTAGCAAGAAGTGAAATGACAATGAGAGAGAGAACAAAAGGACACGTTATTCTTCGTCTATAAATCTTTTTAGATCCAGATTATCCTACTATTCAATGCACTGCAGTTGAAAAAAGACAGCCATAAGTCTCCTCAAACATTGTAACCCACTTTGAGAAACTTACGAGAGTAGAAGAACTGTTAAGAAACCGGTACTGTGAGCTGGTGAATCGGTAAGGAACCGGTACCGTGAACTGGTGAACCGTTAAGGAACAGGTATCGGTAAGAACGAGTTAAACAGTACCAGTTTACCAGTAAAGAACTGGTACTGTTGCATGCCTGCTCTGAATAGATCAATTACCGGGAAAATGTTGGTTTAATCCAATATTTTGATCAATAGCTATATAATATCGTTCCATATCATCTCTATTAAAGTTTCGCAAACGTTTTAAGATTATGAATAGTTCAACTGATAAGCTAGAAGACAAAAAATAGACGTCAAGTTAATGGATTACACAACTATAGAAAGGCTTACTTTCCACTCTTATCAATATTAAACCAAACTTCATTCTGATCATCGTTAGCTGTGTTGATGTTTGAACAAAAAGTGAATGGATGTTCAAAAAATGTGTTGTCATGCTTGTAAAATATTTTAAATCGAATAGAATAAGCAGAGTTGAAGTCAGTTCTTGTTATCTTGAAAAAGTAACAAAATGAAAATCATTAGTAGTTTCAAACGCGATGATACGACTAAAATCAGTATGTTTAATGTACAATCATGTGAGATGACCTTTCCACAAACACGTAGTCTTATCAACCAGTGATCTTAATTTAATTTTCTTTGATAAACTAAAGAAATTGTCGATTGTATATTTAAAAATGGACCATATATGGCAAACCATTGAATGGTCCGATTCAGCATGGAAAACTTCAGAGTATTCCAGTTCATGTAAAAAAGGAAAGCTTCCCTGATATCTCATGTTGAGACGTTGAACAGTTTGACAACACTCAGTTAGGAGAAGAGTCAGTGTCGGACAAGCTAAAAGTAGGATTTTCACAGCAGCTTTATATAAAGTTATTTGAATATTTGTTTATTCCGACGTTTCGAAAATTTATATTTTCATTTTCAAGGAGTGTACAAATAGAATATTATGAACGCACATCAAAATGATTTTTCATTCTTACATATATATGAAACAGAGATGAAACGAAAAGAAGAAGAAGTAAGGAGAACACTGGTCGACGTTCTTGTGGATATTCTCGCAAGATTCTTGCCTCTTGCCATTTCACACAAGAATGCTCAATTTTATCTTGATACATCAGACATGATTCTTCTTTTAATTCTTTACTGATTTTTCATTTTTTTCGTTAAAGATTCTTGTCTGAAGTGGCAAGATTTTCTGATAACAAAATCACCAATTTGTTTTGTCGATTCCTCTGCTATATATAAGTTACATAATATAGCGCAATACTATACATATGGATGTCTTTAAAAAGTCTTTTAAATCTCATAAGATTCTTGTCGAGGGACAATCGAGTCTTTAGATGTGCCTGTACTGCCATCAGAGCGTCCAGCTTCTATATATATGAAAAGAAAAAGAAAAGAAGACTGAAAATGGATTATATATGCATTCTGTTTATTTGTAAGATTCTTTTAAGAATTACAAGACAAGATTCTTGGAGGAAAAAATGAGACAAGAATCTTGCAGGAAATCGCTTTCTTGTGCATTCAGATAAGAATCCGTCTCGCGATTCTTGTATGAACTCACAAGAAAGTGATTTCCTGCAAGACTTTTGTGATAAAAATACACCTAAAATATTTTATAAGATATTTGTCTGAAATGCCAAGAAACAAGAATCTTGCAAAAATACTCACAAGAACGTCGACCAGTGAAATACGAGATGCTTTTATTTCTTGGCATTTCAGACAAGTATCTTGTAAAATATTTTACGTGTATTTTTATCACAAAAGTCTTGCAGGAAATCGCTTTCTTGTGAGTTCATACAAGAATCGTGAGACGGATTCTTGTCTGAATGCACAAGAAAGCGATTTCCTGCAGGATTCTTGTCTCATTTTTTCCTCCAAGAATCTTGTCTTGTAATTCTTAAAAGTAGAACGTACGATAGGGGTACCCAAGTGATTGATCTATGTTTAATAGCATCTTGAGCTAATTACGTGGAAAAAAAAGTTTCGGCTGACCAGTTAACTGTCCTAGTCGTTCCATCGCTTTTTGCTGGAGGCATAAAAGGTTAGAAGCAGTCGATAGTCCTGCTCATGAATCTGAGGGCTCTATCTGTCTGTATTTGGATTTCTGCTCAAAGTTTGCACTGGGATCCTCTAAAACCTGAAAAATCACTTTTGTGCCATGTCTTCAGTCCCATGCCTTTTACTTAAAACGTAATTCACCACTTTGGAGAATACCCTCATTAAGCAACATAGCGCATATTTTTTCGCTATTTAGTACTGAATAGATGAGTGCATGGTTGTGCTTAAAGATGCGATGTTAAAATAATATTAAAATGAAAAAGTATGTTATATACTTGAAAGCACATTGTCTGTTTCCCTTGGTCGACTAATTGAAATATAGCATCTTTTCGTGCAGTACAACCTGGTGTCAAATGATTAATCTTGGAGCCAACAATACTAGAAGAAAAATGGCATTAGCTCACATCTAGTATGAAATAATGGAATAACGTACCGTGCTAAAGTTGCTTGTGGAAGGGTTACTGTCAGGGGCATATTATTCTACAAATATAATTAATTGATTATAAACGATAAATATAACATCAACATTAATAACCAAAAGAAGGAATCAACACTTTAGCTTGTAGCTACATCAGTATATATTCATTTTTTGAAACCTGTGGTATTCTCCTCCCTGTTGTACATTTGCATTTTTATGTGTAATGTATAGAGTTCCATGGAAATTCCAGAATTCAGACTGTCGCTGCTCACTCTCATGTCCCATCCTCCTCACTTTTATATTCTCCAGAGCTCGAATTCGAACTCTACCAGAATCTGCCAATTCGTAGAGAGAATCTACATGTCAACTAATATAATTCTATATGCATTCTCTCTATGAATTGGCAGAGATTCTGATACAATCAGAATTCGAGTTCTACCTAAATCTAATCTGAATTGGACCAGAATTCAAGCAGTAGAATCTGTTGAATATGCGAAGTGCTATCAATTCCAAGAATTTTATAGAATTCTGGAACTTGACACTGCTGAATAGTGATGGCTACTTATTAAAAAAATCATCTACAGTTTATTGAAAACCCATGCTCACTTGAGAAGGTGTCTTGGACATATCATGTGACATCGAAATTTTAACTATATCCTAATTTTCGAAGTTCTGTATTACATATTTTGTACCACAAGTGCATGTGTTCTTTTAAAATGAGAAATAAATCGCAAAAAAAACTTGTTGGTGTGTTTTAGTTGTGAAGAGAAACAAAGCATTTTTTGTTTAAGAAAAAGTATAAAATTTATTTGTCGTTGAAAAGAAGAGTTATTAAGCGTACCTGTAACATAGACAGCCAAGTTGCAATATTGACAAACGAGAACGAAAAGAAAAAAACGTTACATAAAATATTTTTCTTTCTTTCTTTTCGATACTTAGATTAAATATTGCATGGAAAAATCCATGCATAAACCTGTAGTACGAAAAAACGTTTTATCAAGTTGGAAGTCTCCTAGTTAATTTATATAGTCAAAAAGAATGGAAAAGAAAAATTGAATCATAACAGAAAAAAAGGTCTCTAAACTGTCCCACAGTTTAATTTCAAAACACGTAAAATAATTCTTCTCTTACTTTTCGAGTCAACAGTTTTTAGGGTCCCCCCCAACATAATCATCTAAACATTACGTATTTGAGAGAAAGATATATATATTTGTATAGATACATTGCCTGCTTTCATAATCCAGAGTATATATCTTTGTATAAAATGTTTTTTATCTGTGTTCTGAAAGACGTTTTAAACTCCTAGAATTGTACGGTTCGTTAAAAAATCGTACAATTGTGTAAAATCGAGTTGCATTTTTGGCAAACCATATCGTCATGTAAATATTGCATCGTATTCTAGTGTAAATCATGCTATAATTTGAACATGTTTTTGTACAAAACTTGACAAAATATCGTCGAACTGTTCACATGATACTTCAAGAATCGCTAACTCATCTACGATATAAAGCTTTCCAGAAAATATATTAAATGCAGTGTAGGCCTAATTCAATCTCTGCGCATTTATTTCTAGGTTTTATGCTTGATGATAACAACTAAAACACATCGGATAATTGATCTAACTAGCTGGAAAAGTTTCCAATTTTTGACAAATTTGAGCAAAATTTTCAATTTCTTTTGTTAATTTAACTCGGATTTATCGAAAATTTATCAACAGTATTGCCAGTTCATTCCTTGCTGCTGTGCGATTTATTATGTTCTATTCTAACGACTAAAAAATGTTAGTTAAACCACGAGAATTATCATAGATTGAAAAGCTTGGAATAGTTACCATGGTGAAATAGACTCAATTCTTCTGAAAGTATTGCATCAATATTAACCCAATTAAGAATAGCTTTTGTGAACTTAGACGGTTCAAATGGAATCGTGATATAATAATCTGAGATTAATGATAGATTTACAGTTGTGTTAGACATGCGTGCAGCTAAAAATGTACCAATATCAAATAGTCTATAGGGCTATGCATATATTGAAAATGTTGACCCATTACGATTAAACGCGACATAATTTCCGCTCAAAACAGCAGTTATTTTTAAAGTTCCATTTTTAAAAGGACGGACCTGTACTAGTGATAGTACCATACTCCTGAGACTGGCAAACCATGGTTCAAACGAATCCAAAAATTCGGAACATAATATTTTTCAGTTCATGATCAAAAATAATGAAACTTGAAATATGTCCTGAAAAAGGCCTAAAAACGGCCCGTTAACGATAACGTTTTCGGCGACCTGGCGTTCGTATAATTCCAGACCGTGAAGCGCGTATATACGGTAGAAATACGGTATGTTTACGGTCATTTACAGTGCGTATACGCCCATATACGACGATCTTATTCAAGCCGTAAACACGCCGTATACGGTACGACGTAAATACGGTCGTAAAGCATCGGCCTGGTTTACAGTAAAATACGATGCGTAAACGGCCCGTATATAATCGTTTACGGCCCCACTCTATCTACAGTGCATGCGACTTTTTATCTAAGTCGAATTATCAATTTTCTAAAACCCATACGGTTTTCGGGGTATTTCATGATTTTTTCGCTTATAAATGCACTTCCCTTCAAACATAATACCATATTCGGAACCAGCGTGAAAAACTGCAGCGAATGGTGTATAACTCATCTAGTTTCGGTAGCTCGATTTTGAATTCTAGAAATTTCTTAGTTTTTGAGATTCACACAAACAATTTCGTGCTGAAAATTTGAATTTCAA